TACGAGTTACTGAACAAAGGCGAAATATGAAGCAAAGGGAATTGCTACCTCCTCGTGGATGGGCTGCCAGTTCATGGCAGGGCTACCTCCGCCCAAGAGGTGAATTTCCCGGTACCAATTTTCTTCCCTTTGCGGAAAAGGCATTCTAAGGCTAACATACTCTAAAAACGCAACACAGAGACTCCAGCCAGGGGCAAACGTCAACTTTAACTTGACCACTTGATCCGAAGTTCACCACGCTAGCCATTAGCCTATGCCCCACCCTCCCCCTCAGTCCCCCGAGGGAGGTGGGCTATTAACACTTACCCGGTTTAACAGATGACATCAGTGGTTGCCTTTGCTTGGCATCCAGTTTCCTTCGATTTTTTAATTTTTTGCGTATTATGACTGCAACCATTGCTATAAATAGAATTATGCTTCCTCCACCGATGCCGCTCCATAACCTTGAATCTTTTGCCAATGGAATTGATGAGGGGTGGGAAGTTCCAGCTGGTTCTTCTGGTTCCACATTCGGCCCTTGGTGAGCAGTACTGCTGGGGATTTTATCAGAGCCCGTGGGGGAATCACCTAAAGGGGGAAAAATATTGTTCTTTACACTTCTGTTACAGGTCTTTTCTTCTTCTTTTTCTCTTCTTCTTCTTCAACTGACAAATTTAATTGAGAAACAGAACAGAGAAAACCGCTGGTACTACGAGAATGGTAATAGTAAATATATTCCTGTTTTAAATTTAGATCTCAAACCCACTCGTCAAATAGGCTCCCCTCAGTGAGTGGATGGGTGACGATATGGGTTGGGATAGGGAAGGGGTGGTAGAGTGGTTTAGCGCGCTAAATTTGAAATGTTACTCCTAACATCCTCCCTTTACATGTTTGACTTCTTATTTTCAGCCGGATGAGATCAGCCACCGATACATCAGTCAGCGACATGGTCCATATTACAATATCAAAGAGAAACATCTTGTCACGAGGCCGGCAGACCATGGAAAGGATCATGATGTTAAAGGAACCTAAAATCACGATAGTGATCAGTGGAGGATACAGCTTAGTTTCGTAAGGTAAATAAATGAGCTTACTCAGGTTCGGGGTGGTGACCGGTCCTTTTGCCTTGCACTCCCGGTCATGATCAGTACTACAAGATCTTATTTCTACTTGAAGGATGCTGCACTTTGGAGAGCATTCAACACACCCTCCGTTGGGTCCAACTAGAGGCTCACGATAGTAACCATCCTCGCAACCGTCACACACAGGTCCAGAGAAAATAGTGCAGTTTCTGATTTTTTTCGAATTGCCAGGGAGGCAATTCGAATACTTGTCACAGCTGAAACGAAAAAAAATAAATCTTTCAACAAGGAGAC